CCGCCGGGCTGCCGGCTCCATCTAGCGGCACTCAGGGACCCAGTCACCAGCTGGGGGGGGGGACACAAAGCGCCCCCCCCTCTCTGGAGAACTTAGATTTAACCCCTGCTCTTCCGAGCGCATCCACGTGAGGTCCTTGGGTTTCCCAGGGTGTTTCACAGGAGGGATGCCTGAAGAGCTGCAAAGGGAAAAAAGGGGTTTTGGTGGTTTTTTTTCCAGAATAAAAGCTTCCATAAAGCCTGTGAGCAGCGTGGTCCAGGCAGGCCTTGGCCTTGGCCTTGCGGGGCTGGTGCGGGGAGCGACTGTCTGGCCCCAGGCTGGGGGATCCCTCGGTGCTTCTGCTGCCCGGGCTGGGAGAAGTGAAGGGTTTTTTTGTCGTGGAAAGAGTTAAGCTCCTGACCCGGATGCTGAGGCAAAAGAGGGAGAGGTGTGGCTTCCTCCCCTGGGTCTCCCTGAGCAGCATTGTCCTGCAGGCACCCAGCGCTCTGGGCGGCCCCAGGGGAGGGACAGGGGGGTCTTGCCCTTTGCTGCTATGGGAGGGACCCTCTCCCAGGGCTGGCTCCAGACTCAGTCTTAGGGCATCTTGTCCTTCAGCAGAGCCCTTCGAGCCCCAGCCCTGACACTCCGGTGCCAGGTCTGTGAGCTCTGGGCTCCGTCATCAGCACCATCAGGGATAGCAGGGGAGCAGGGATGGAGGGGAGATGCTGGCACAGGGGTGACCTTGAGGATGGTGGGGCACACTGGGTCTGGAACAGGCAGAGATGATTACTTGATTGCCACTAACAGGATTGGGAAGCGTTGGAGCTCAGTGCCGGCTCTGCCTCCATCTCTAGAGCTGCTTGTGCAAGAGCACCCTCCAAATTCTGTCCTTGTGTGTCCAGCCCTGCAAGGGGCACAGGGTTTCATGGGGGTCCTGCTGTGGCTGGTGGCACAGGGTGCCAGGTTCACCCTGTAGCTGTTCTCTGATGAGGCAGGACTGGTGTCACCGTTTTTGAGCGGGCTGGAGGAGGTTTCTGGTGGGGCATCTCATCTTGCATGCTCCTAGGGCAGCTGTGGCCACGTTTGGGGCTGTGACTGCTGGGTGCAGACACATCTGGATCCTTCCTCTCCCACCTGGGAAACACAAGTGCCATGGTCATGGTGTTGGGTGTTGCCCCAGCCCCTCTTTGGGTGCTGCTGGGTTTGGCACTGTGGATAGCATTTCCCAGGACAGGGACCATTCCCTGCTCTGGGGACCCAGCTGTGGCAGGCAGGGTCATGTTTTCCTGGCACAGTTCCCTCTTAGCAAAGTCTGGGCAAAGCCTGAGCTGTGTCATGGATACAGGGTTGGACACAGGCTCTGGAAAGTCCCTGTGTCTGTATCCCTGGCCACTTCTCACAGCAGGAGTTTGTTCCAGGCTCAGACGGGTGCAGGCAGGAGAGATGGCTCCTGTGGGCAGAGCACATGCGGCCACAGGTTCCTCTTTTGCTTCTGAGGAGCAGGGGAAAGCTGCTGAAATAGCTCTTGTGTTGGTGTCCCCTTCTCCAGCCTGATCTTGCCTCATTTGCCAAGGCCCACAGTGTCCCTCAGAATTGTCACACCACTGCTGGTGTCCCCCACATCCCAACTGGCCCAGGGTTGTGGTCAGGCTGGAGCAGCAGGGAGGTGCCAGCGCTGATCTCTGTGGGATGTGGGGCAGATATGTGGGAAGGCAGGTGGCTCAGCTGCATGACCCTGCCCCGCATTCCTTCTGGGCTGGGAGAGGTCTGGCACTTTCTGGGGGTGCAGAGACAGGTCCCCCCTGTGGGACCTGGTGATGCTGCTGCCCTCCGAGGTCCCTTCTCGCTGGTGGCAATCCCCAGGGTCCGTCTCTCTGCCGGGATCCAAGGAAGGGATCCAGGGGGCCGCAGCAGGCGGGACGGTGCTCTCGCATTGCCGGGCGAGGGGCCTGGCAGGGGGCGGGGGACCCCTCCCCGTGGTGGCCACGCCAGGCTGTGCCAGCGCCGGGGAAGAGGCGGCTGCTCTGCGCGCCCCAGCCTTGACCACACTCCGGCGGCGGAGCAGCCCCACCTCCAGCGCCGAGAGAGATGCATTTCCTGTAGCGAGCAGGGCGGAGCTGGGGCCGGCTGGGGCTCGGAGCGCCGGGCAGCGGCCCCTCCACCGCCGGCGGCCCCCCCGGGGCCGAGCCGAGTCCGGCGGACAGCCGGGCTGGCCCTCTGGCCGCGCCGCTGCCGAGCCCGGAGGTGCCGCCGCCGCCGCTCGGAGGGGGCTGAGGGGCCGCCCCGGGAGCGGCCGGGACGCCGCGGACCGAAGGCCGGAGCTCGGGGCAGGCGGGAGCACCGGGGAATCCCATAATGGTTCCTTTCATCCCGCGGTGGTGGCCGGCGTCCAGAGCTGAGTCAGGCTGGGACAGCTCAGCCGTGTGAGCCCCTTTGCCCGGAGCCTTGTGGGGTCCCCTCTGCTCCCCCCGCTGCCCGCCCGGCCATGGAGGAGGAAGAGGAGGCCATAGGGTACCTGGATAAAGTGCTGGAGGATGAAGATGACTCTGAGCCAGGAACCCCCACCAGCCCTGGGTCTCCGTTTTCGGCCGGAGAGAAGGTGGGCGGCGGGGGCACCCCGCTCCCGTGCTGGGCAGGGGGTGGGGGGACGAGGGGAATCTTGGTTGTGCTGGTGATGCCCAGGTGAGGGGGCAGCTCATGGGTCGATGCAGTGGGTGCTGGTGGAGGGCAGAGCTGGGGGGCAGCGGGAGCATCCCTGCAGCCCCACCACTCCCCCAGCACTGCCTGTGGCCAGGGGCAAGGGGCAGGGCTGTGCCAGGCATGGGGTGTGAAAGGCTCTAAGAGGGTTGACTAACCAGTCCTCCTCCTAGGGGGGAGTAGGGCCATGCATGCTGCTTGTGGGGGCTGTGTGGCTCAGCAGAGCCAGCCCTGGATGCTCCGGAAGGGGCTGTTTAACACTCTGCCCTACCACACGGCCACCAGCAGCTCCTAAACCACCCCAAACCCTGGAGCTGGGAGGACCCCTGTGCTGGCAGGTGCAGCCCAGCACCCTTCTCGTGCTCACCCTGCCAGAGGTGCCTGGGTGCTGGAGGAGGGCTCTGCCCCTGCTCTCCCTGGGGTCTCCTGCATGGGGCAGCCACAGGACCCTGATTAAGGGTTAGTCCTCTGGGTCCCGGGGGTCCGGTTGGCATTGTCCTCGTGGGGAGCTGTGGGCCCCGGGCGTGGGTGGGCCCCTTATCTCCTGAGCTCCTGCGCAGGGCCCAGGCTGGGGGAAGCAGGAAGAGCCCGTGACTAATCGGTGGCAAAGAGCCCACGAACTCCCAGTGAATAAAAGTGGCCGCCCTGTGCACCCTCCTGCCACCCCAGTCACCACGGCCCAGCCTTAATGGTGCAGCCTGGCAGGTTGGGCCCCCTGGTTGGCACAGCAGCCCCCAGGGCCAGCTGATGGATGCTAAGAGTGGGACAGGGAGGTGCTGCTCCACAGCCATGCCCACCTCGGGGCTGTGCCCTTTGGGTGTTTGCAGCTGTCACCTCTGCTGGCTCAACAGCCAGGGCTGGTGTGGGCAGAGGTGAGGCACGACCAATGTCCCCCCCAAAGCATCCTCAATGGCTGATGGCCCAGAGTGACTGATGTCTCCCATCGTGGCTGTGCTTGGCCTCTGTCTGGTCCCAAGTGTAATTTTTAAAGGGTGGGGAAGTTAAAGTGTGACAGGATGGTTCAGCGGCTGGGGCACCCATTTCTGAACCCTGGGAGAGCCTCACTGAGGGTCACAGGCCAGCCATCTCCCTGCCATGAGGATCATGCCAGCATCAGTGCTGCAACAGACCTGGACGCCGGGAACTGCCCCAGTTCCACCAGGCAGTGACTGCTGGGGTGGCACGTTCCCGGGAAAACCTCAGCCGAGGGAAAGGGTGGTGCCGGATCACGTGGCAGCACCATCCACGCCAAGCATGATTTCACTGGGCGTCTCTGGACTCTGCCCTGGGAGAGTCCTGCCATGCCGTGCGCCATCCTGGAGCGCTGCCAGCGGCGCCGGGCTCCTGGCCAGCCAGGAGCAGGGAGGGGAGAGGAGCCAGCACAGCTCGTGGCTTCCCTGCTGGCTCCAGCTGGGCTCTGCTGCCCCTCGGGCACATGCCCGGGCCTTGCCACGGAGATTTCCCAGCACTGGCAGGGACGTGTGCCCACGTGGGGATGCCAGGGATGGATGGGCTGGTGGGGTGGGGTGTCTCCTCCTGTGCCACTTGCTCAGCCAGGCTCCTTGCTGTGTTCCGTAGGGCGAGCGAGAGGCTGGCAAAGGCCTGGAGATGCGGAAGCTGGTGCTCTCGGGTTTCCTGGCCAGTGAGGAGATCTACATCAACCAGCTGGAGGCCCTCTTGTTGGTGAGCACAGCCCCTCCAGGGATGGCCCTCAGCAGGGGTGGGTGATGGATGGATGGATGAATGGAGGGAGGGAGGGAGTAATTTCTTCCTGGACAGCTTTCCCCAGGCAGGTCTGGCCTGGGTGATGCCTGGGTGGGGGCAAAGCTTCAGGAGCCACACTGGAGCCAGCCTTGCTGGCCTGGCTGCCCCATCTTGCCTTCCCCACAGCCCATGGGAGAAGTATTTATAGCCCTGCTTCCTCTTGTGGACTCGCTGACCTTCATGGCTGAGAAACTGCTGTACAATGCGGGGTCACCACCACGGGGAAGTCTGCGGGGATGCAGAAGCCCAGAGTGCCCCTTGGTGCAGCTGCTGGGCTGGGACCTGTCCTGGGCAGCCCTTGCTGCTGGCTCAGATCCTCCTCGTCCCCAGTGTTCCCCTCCCAGCCCTCATCTCAAATGCTCTCCCTTCTCCTTTGGCAGCCCATGAAGCCGCTGAAGGCCACGGCCACCACGTCGCAGCCTGTCCTCACCCTGCAGCAGATCGAGACGATTTTCTACAAGATCCAGGACATCTATGAGATCCACAAGGAGTTCTACGACAGCCTGTGCCCAAAGGTGCAGCAGTGGGACAGCAATGTCACCATGGGCCACCTCTTCCAGAAGCTGGTATGCACCTTCCTCAGGTCTTGCTCCACTTGGAAGAGAAGGAGGGCCGGGTCCTGCTGCTGCTTTGGATGTACAAGGGGAGCATGGGCTGTGCCCGTGGGTGCTGTGGCCATGCTGGGGAGAGGAGGAATAGAGGGCGGGTTGAAGGGCACTAGGAAGCGGTTATAGCCTCAGCTTCCACTTTCTGGACACTTGTTATCTCTCTGTTGGATTTTGGAGCTTTGTGGGGGCACAGGAGCCCCACAGCTCTGTGCTGGGCAAGAGCTTTCCCTGCAGAGCCAAATGTGTGGCTGCCCAGATGGCTGTGGTGTGGCAGTGTCCTGCCAGGAGGGGACAACTCTGGGCAGAGCCCCCTCAGGGCTCCTTGTGCTGCAGGGGGGCTTCATCATCCTGCTGAGTGCCCGGCTAACCCCCGCTCCCCGCAGGCCAGCCAGCTGGGTGTCTACAAGGCCTTTGTGGATAACTACAAAATCGCCCTGGAGACGGCAGAGAAGTGCAGCCAGAGCAACTACCAGTTCCAGAAGATCTCAGAGGTAAGCTGGGGTAGGGGCTGTGCCAGTGGGACAAGGCTGTTCCCCAGGCTGTATCAGCACAGGGCAGAGAATGCTGTCCCTTGGGGGCTCGTGGTCTCTGGGCATTGCAGGAGTTTGTCCCTCACCTTGTGCAAGCTCAGGTTGGGCTCATCCCTTGCTGTCACCATGTCAGGGGTGCCAGGGCAGCCTCCACCAGCTCATCCCATCCAGGGACTGTGGGTGCTGGGCACCTGTGGCTCATCTCCTGCCTCCTGCTGGCTGCATCTCCATGCCTGGCTCCCCTATAGAAACAGAGACCTCCGTGGCTGCAGCTGGGGCTCCCTGCTCTCTCCAGCCCCTCCACAGAGCAGAGCTGTTCATCTCGGTGGGATCACCACCATGTCCCAACTGTGGGGCACAGCCAGAGCTGCTCCCAGCCAGGCAGTATCCTGTACAGCCCACACCTCCACCCAGCACCCACGTGTGGCCTCCAGCGCGGCCAGGCTGGGGCCGGGGGGAGATATCAGGGTGCAGAAAGGGTTGGGGGGGGACCCCATGATCCTGAGCAATGACCTTTCCCCCCGCCCTCAGCCCCCCACGGGCTGCACTGATGGCCCTTTCCTTCCCTAGGAACTGAAGGTGAAGGGCCCCAAGGACTCGAAGGAGAGCCACACGTCCGTCACCATGGAGGGTACGGCGGGCGCGGGGAGGGGGACGCAACCTTTTGTCCGCCCGCGGGACTGGCGGGGATGAATTACCGAGCAGGAATTACCGAGCGGCTCCCGCGAGCGGAGCCCTTTGTGTGCCCGTGTGCGGAGCCGGCGAGAAGGGCGGGGGAATGGGTGTCGCAGCTCTTTAGGATGCTGTGGGCGTGCAGCAGCCCCCCACCCCCTGCCCACCCCTCCTCCCCGCCCGCCGGCCGTGCCCAGAGCCGTGCGGAGGGGCCGATGCTGCGCCGCAGCCGGGCTGAGCTGCCGCGGGGCGGCAGCGATGGCTGCGCCGAGACGGGGCTGCCATGGAAATCCTCGTCATTGTCCGGCTCTGCTGTAACTGCACCTACGGTGAGGCGAGGGGGGGCGGCTCCGAATTGGGGGTGCCGGTGAGGGAGCGATGCTGCGGGGATGCTGGCCCGGGGCTGGCTGTGCTTGCCCGGGGCGGGGGGGTTGGAGGGGGGTGTGGAGGCTGCGTCGTGCTCTGCAGCCTGAAGTTGGGAGCGTCTTTGTTCCAGGCTGGATTGAATCATTTTGGCTCCGGCACACGCGGCCACGCGCTCGCCGTGCCCGCCGGGCAGGGACTCGTGCCGGCAGCGGGATAGAGGAGCTTGGATGGGCGGGGTGGGATCCTGGTCTGGGGTCCCCCCCTGCCTGAGCTGGGCCGTGCAGATGGGGATAGGGAGGGGTCCCCATTTGCCTGCCGGAGGCTGTGAGCGTCGTGGGGTTGGAATGTCCATCTCTCCGTGGCTGGGAGGAGAGGCACCGGGCATCCCTGCCTGCTGGGTCCCAGGCTGGCAGGACTGTGCCGGGACAGCCTCTCCCAGTGCCCTCCAGTGCTTTGAATGTGTCTGTAGAAATGGCAGTGCGAGGGTCCATCCTACCCGTGGGTGTAGGGTGGTGAAAAAGGGGGGGACACCCTGCCTGACCCCTCTATCCCAGAGCAGGATTTTCGCTGGCTGCTGCAGGGAGTGGAACTCTGGCTTTGCCCACTGGCACGGAGTTGTGGGGGATGCAGCCTCTGTTAAGGGTCCAAGTTGGCATCCTCTCCTCCTGAGCAGAGACCCCCAGTTCACCAGGATGGGGGTCCCTCTCTCAGGACTGGGCACCACAAGGCAGCACCCTCTGGTGTAAAGGGGGTGGGACCCCCCCCCACACAACTCAGCACACACCTCCCCCCCAACTCAGCAGAGACTGAGGAGGTGGCAGCTTTTCTTCCTCTCCCACGGCCCGAAACCTGGCCCCTCTTGGCACTGGCAGTTTGGGGAAGTGCTCTGAAGTGAAGGGAAAACCCAGAGGCATCAGCCTGTCTGGAACCAGCCTGTGGAAACACAGCAGTGGCCAGGCATGGGGAACAGCACTCTGAGTGGGATCTGTGCCTTTGCCTGCCCAGAGAGCCAGGGAGGAGGAGGAGGGTCTGGCTGCTTCCAGTGAAATGTGCCTCTGAAGAGCCTCCTGCAGGGAGGGTGCATGGCAGGGGAAAGGGGGTGTCTGTGCCCCATGTTTGAGGCAGCTCTGCTGCCCTGCCCCAGATGGAGCCTCACATGCCAATCATGGGAGGCTGTGGGGAGGGGACACAGGGCAGTGACATTGGGATGATGCCGTGGCCCAGGCATTCTCTGTAGGTGGGGGTTTTGCTGCTGCTGGAGCAGCCTGGGTTCCCCTGGCACCCTGGGCCCGCTGGGGTGGTGGATACAGGGCGTCCCATGGGGTGGCAGAGCGAACAGAGCAGGGACAGGGCCCACTGCTGAGCCAAAAGGAAACTGAAAAAGCTTCTGTGGGTGACGAGCAGCAGCTCTTCCGCTCCACAGCCACTGCCAGTGTTGGTGAACCACGGGGTGGGGGGGGTGTGCTGGCACAGCTGTGGTGGGACATCCCATCCAGCAGTCAGGGTGTCACCGTGGCTGTGACCACACAGCAGCCTGGCCATGGTTCCCTGTGCCCCCAGCGCAGCAGGAGCGGGGCTGTGGCACTGGTGGCTCACCACTGTCCCTGTCACCGACATGATGGTCCAGCAGCTGCTGGCTCTGTGCAGAATGGATCCCCGGTGCTTGCCCAGGGCTCTGTGCAGACCAGGGTGGGAGATGGGCCAGGGCTCCAGAAGGGGTGGCTGCTGACACCTTCTCTCTCCCCTCAGCTCTGCTGTACAAACCCATCGACCGGGTGACACGGAGCACCCTCGTCCTGCACGTGAGTGTGACACCAGTCCTGGGGTAGGGGCGTGGTGGGAGGCTCTGCCTCTGTTGCTCCAGGGGATCTGCAGCCATGGGGAGTGCTGATGGGCGTTCTCCAGGGTGGGTGCTCTCCAGCTGCTCACCTGTGCCTGTCCCCTTCCAGGACCTCCTCAAGCACACCCCAGCTGACCACCCTGACTACCCTCTGCTCCAGGACGCCCTCCGCATCTCACAGAACTTCCTGTCCAGCATCAATGAGGACATCGATCCCCGGAGGACAGCGGTCACCACCCCCAAGGGCGAGGTGAGCCAGCGGGGTGGGCAGTGGCAGGGCACAGGGTGAGGGCTGAGCCCTCTGCCAGCCCCTGGCTGGTGTCTTCACCCTGGGGAGCATCATGGTGCTTGGCCAGGAGATGGAGGGGTTCCTCTAGACCCCTAGAGCAGTTCTGGGCACAGTGTTAGGGCTCTACCTGGTCTTTGCTGCTTGCTGGCATCCTATTGACTCAAAATAGCACGCAGAGGACACAGACCTTCCCGTACTCCTGGTAGCTGAGCCACGGAGAGGGACAGGAGCACCCACTCCCCTAGTTGGTTGCCCTTTGCTCTCTGCCCACTCTCAGAGCAGCCCCACTGCCCCACAGACCCGGCAGCTCATCAAGGATGGCTTCTTGGTGGAGCTGTCGGAGGGCTCGCGGAAGCTGCGGCACGTCTTCCTCTTCACCGACGTGCTGCTCTGCGCCAAGCTGAAGAAGACGGCGGTGGGGTAAGGAGGGTGCTGGGCACAGGGGGAATGTGTCACAGTCCTCTGTCCTCCAGAGGGCTGGAGGATGTGCCAGGGAGGGGGTCAGGCATCACTCAGCATCCGTGCCCTGTCCGCAGGAAGCACCAGCAGTACGACTGCAAGTGGTACGTGCCCCTGGCCGACCTGGTGTTCCCCTCGCCGGAGGAGTCGGAGCACTGCCCGCAGGTCCACGTCATCCCTGACCACGAGCTGGAGGACATGAAGATGAAGATCTCGGCCATCAAGAGCGAGGTGCAGAAGGAGGTGAGAGCAGGGTGTGGGAGCTGCTGCTGGGGTGGGTGCCTTCCTCGGGGTCAGGGGTGGGACAAAGCTCTCTCTGCTCCCCATCTGCAGAAAGCCAACAAAGGGCAGAGCCGGGCCATCGAGCGCCTCAAGAAGAAGATGTTTGAGAACGAATTCTGGCTGCTCCTCAACTCGCCCGCCATCCCCTTCCGCATCCACAACCGCAACGGGAAGGTGAGGAGGGTGGGCTGGGGGCTGGGCTCAGCCCTGCCTGCACACAACCTGTCATATCCCCCTCTCTCTTACAGAGCTACCTCTTCCTGCTGTCCTCCGACTACGAGAGGTCCGAGTGGAGGGAGGCCATCCAGAAACTGCAGAAAAAGGGTAAGTTTGGGGCTGCTGAGCCTCTCATGGGGTTCCTGGCCCCACCAGGGGCCACAGGGAGGTCCCACAGGATCCCAGCCTGCTACTTGCCAGTTCCCATGGCCAACACTGTCTGCATCCCTCTGAAGCTCCTCTCCGGTCCTCTCACAGACCTCCAGGCCTTTGTCCTGAGCTCGGTGGAGCTCCAGGTGCTCACGGGATCCTGCTTCAAGCTACGCACCGTCCACAACATCCCGGTCACCAGCAACAAGGATGGTGAGTGTTCACTGGGTCCCTGCTGTGCAGGGGACAGCTTCCCACCAGGTGGCACTGCTGGAGCAGTGTCGGGTTCCCAGGCAGAGCCGTCCCAGCTGCAGCACGAGGCTGCTTTTGGGGTCTCTCCAGAACCCCAGCGGGCTGGGCAGGACCAGAGCGTCCCCAGGGTGAGATCCAGCCAGCACTACTGGGAAACTCCCCCAGGCCTGTCCTGCAGCAGGAGAGCTTGAGATGTCAGCAGGGAATACAGAACTTAGAGACAGCCCTCAAGGGGTTTGGGGACATTTGGATGTCACTGCAGGCACCCAGTTCCTCCTGTGGCCAAGGCTGCCTCGGGGACAGCCCTGAGGCACGGGAGGTGTCAGCTGAGCCCTTACACAGCCTCTGCTCTCCCGTCACAGATGATGAGTCCCCCGGGCTCTACGGGTTCCTGCACGTCATTGTTCACTCTGCCAAGGGCTTCAAGCAGTCTGCCAGTAAGTGTGGGTGCCCCCCTGCTCTGAGGGGCCGGTGCGATTGGAAGGGTTGGGGTCCAGCACGTGGCCCCGCTCTGTGGTCCCCGGGGAACTGGTGGGGATGTTCCTCGGGTGCTGAGGGATGTCTGCTCCCCCAGACCTTTACTGCACGCTGGAGGTGGACTCCTTCGGCTACTTCGTCAGCAAAGCCAAGACCAGGGTTTTCCGGGACACCACGGAGCCACAGTGGAACGAGGTGAGGGAGGGTGGGATGCAGCCAGGGGGCTGTGCTCCCCATTTCCCTTCAACCCCAGTTTTGGAGCTGCTGTGAGGTGCTGGGGTTGAACCACCCTCGCTCTGCACCCCAGGAGTTTGAGATCGAGCTGGAGGGCTCCCAGTCCCTGCGCATCCTCTGCTACGAGAAGTGCTACGACAAGACCAAACTCAACAAGGACAACAACGAAATTGTGGACAAGATCATGGGCAAGGGGCAGATCCAGGTATGTGCTGGGGCTCTGGGGCATTTTCTTGCCCAGCAGTGAACCTCTTGAGGCCAGGCACCTGAGCTGGGAGGGCTGCTCTGGAGTTATGCCTGGGATGAGAGAGTTATGCCTGGCAGCGTGGACAGGCAGCTCTGCTTTTGGGAACGGGGTACAGGGATTGTGGGGTTGAGGGCGGTGAGGTTGGTGGGCTTCAGGGGTGTGGATGGTGGTCCTGGAGCACAGTGGCTGCAGGAGGAGGTGGAACAAAGTGAGAGGGGGTCCTGCAGAGGTGGCAAAGCCAGACCTGCCCCCCAAGATGTGCATCCAGTCCCAGCTGGGCTGGAAGTGTTTCTGTTCCACTGCCTCCTGTGCTGCAGCCCCGGGGGGCTGTGGAAAGGGGGTTGGCAGCTGCCCCAGGGAGGGCTCTGAGCGTGCAGCCCCCCATCCCTCCCCTGTTCCCCTCTGCCACCATCTGCCTTCCCTGTGCCTCCATCAGCTGCTGTTATAGCAACGGGGGTTTCCAGGGCAACGACTGAGCTGCTTCTGATTGGTGGTTGCCAGGCAGGGAAAGATGGAGGCCTGGCCTGCCCTGAGATGCTCCCAGGTGAGCAGGTCTGGGAGGACAGAGCAAGGGGCAGGCAGCCCCCCAGACCCCTCATCCCCCAGCACCTCCCTTGGCCAGGCTGCAGGGGTGCCCAGGGCAGCAGAGGATGGTTTGGGATGGGGGTGCCCCTGTGTTTTCCTGGTGGGGACCCCCGGGCTGGCTGCCTTCCCAGCTGTGCTGGGGACAGCGTCACGCCTGGGACACAGCCCTCAACCCCAGGCTGCTTCAAAGGGCCCAGTGTGGCTGCCTGCGCCGTGGGAAAGCTACTGAGGGCAGGTCCCAGGGGAGTGGGGAGCAGCATGGAAATGCTGATGGGAACGGGACGCTGTGGGGGACAGCACCAGCAGGGTGGGAGAGGGGGGCCTGGCTTCACCAGCGGCTTGTTCTTACCTGAAATCACCCATCTGTCACCCTCCCCCCGGGAAACAAGTGGTGTGGGGGTGGCACTGGGCCGAGCAGGAGGGCCGGGGCAGGGAAGGGGCTCGATGTCCCGCGGGGATCAGTCCAGCTGCGCTCTCGGAAATAGCCTGGATCAACAAACATGAGTCATGCTGGGAGATGCGGGGGTCGGGACAGGGACAGCACAGCTCGTACCCGCTGTGCAAAAGTTGTGGGGGAAGGAACGGAGAGAGAGAAGGCCCTGGGGCTGCTTATCCCGAGGAGGGCCTGGCTGGACAGGATGGAGCAGTCTCAGGGTCGGTGCTGTCCTGCCGTCACCCAGAGCCACAGCTTGGTCTCTGCCCCAGGGGTGGTGTGAGTGCCAGGGCAGGGACTGGGCAGGATGGGTTGTGGAACTGTGGGGTTGTAGCCAAGCCCCAGTGCTGCCTTCCTGCCCAGCTCAGGCAGAGATGCTGCCCTGGATGGTCCTTACCCTGGCTGGTCTCTGGGCTCATCATGAGCTGCTGCTGGTTCTGGATACCAGCACTGGCATCAGCAGCTCAGCAAAGGTCCGTGGTGTTTTGGAGACTACCAGGACAACTGAAACTTTCCCAGCAGCCAGCCCTGTGCCCACTGCCCAGCTCTAATCTGGCCACCCAGGCACATGGGTTGGTCACAAAAGCAGCTTATCAGCACTGCAGACTTGTGGGAGTGGGTCAGTGTGTGAGGGGGTTGCTGCAGCCCCTCTATGTGGGCAGTGGGGGCCTCCTGAGGCTGCAGAGATGCCATGGGGTGGGAGTCACATCCTGCCAGCACAGAGGACATGGCTGGGTCCATGGAGAGGCTGAGGTTGGCACCAACCTCCTCTCAAGCGTCCTGGCAATGCGCCCTGAGGTGTCTGTGGCGTGGTGAGCCTTGGACTCCCACCCTGACTGTTGTCATTGTTGCTGGTGGAGGGTGGGCACCCTGTGCTGTGCCACTGGCTGTAGAGGGGAAAGGTCTGACTCCTGGTTAGCATTAACCCTGTTTAGTTTTTGTTAACCCCATTTTGTTTGGGATTTCTAAGGCTGGAACGTGCTGTGGTCGAGGTAGAGCTGCTGTGGGGGGCTTGAGTCCCCTGTGCTGCAGGGCTCAGCCCTACTCTGAGCTGTCCCAGGCGCTCCCAGCAGCTGGGCTGTGTCTGGTGGGTGCTGGCAGGGGTGTGTGGTGCTGTGGCAGGGTGGCAGACGGATGTTGGGGTGGGCAAAGCAGGCTGTGAGTGCTTGTGCCCATATTGCAGAAGAGAGAGGCTGGGGCATGTGAGGAGATGGGCAGTGGGCACCTGAAGGGGGTCTCAGGGTGATGGGGCAGGATGGGGCAGCCCTTTCCTCAGCCCATTTGATGCACAGAGAGATGTGGCTGTTGGAGCAGAATCTGTGTTGTCATGGGCACGGTGCCTGCTGTACCCTCAGGGAATTGCTGCCTGTCCGTCTGTCTGCCGCTGACGGAGGCTCTGCAGGGGGAGATTTGTGGTGTTGGGGCTCCCCAGACCTGCAGGGATGATCCATATGGACTCCTGGGGCTGCTGAGGGATGAACTGGGGGGCAGTGCAAGTCACCCCCCAAGCCTGCACCTCCCCATGCCCCTGCCTGTCAGGAAAAGCAGCCAGCAGAGACTCTTCAGGCTTTCCATCCCCCTGCCCACATCACCCCTGGCAGTGGGGCTGACAAGGGCCCGGGTACTCTGAGGGTCCCCACCTGTCCCTAGGCCTGACAGGAGACCTGAAAAGTCCCATCCCTGTGCCACTTAATGGGAGCAGGAGAGCCAACCTGGCTCCTTCTCGGAGCCGGGAATGCTGCAGCCACCAGCGGCGACGCCTCCGGGGCCGCGGCTGCCGCTGGCGTTGCGAAGCGGATAACAGGGAAGGGATAACAGCGGATAACAGGGAAGGGATAACAGCGGCGGGGAGCCCGGGCAACCCCCCCAGCCTTGCCGAGCAGCGGCGGGTGGCAGGGTGAGAGTTAAACGCGTGGGGGCCGCCGCGGGGGTGGGGGGGCTGCCTTTGAGTCACTTCCTCGCAGGGGGAGGGAGGTTTCTGGGGCTGCTGAGCTGCCTCGACAGCCTGGCTCGCACGCCCTGAAGATGAGCCCTGCCCGCTCGCCTCCCCGCCGCCCCAGCCGGGCTCCCCTCGCCAGCCCCCGCTGAGCTCCCCCCGCCGCAGGAAGGATGCGGGTGCTCTCCTAACCCAGCCCCGGGCACCTTTCCCGGCCACGCTCGTCTCGCCTGCCCGGAGCCGAATCGCGATGACGGAGGTGCTGGTGCAGCCCGAGGGCAGCCCCGGCCCCGTGGGCGAGCAGCCGGAGCGCGGCGTGGAGGAGCCCGAGGGGAAGCGACCCCCCAACACGGGTGCCCGTCTCTGGGGCAGAGTACGCAGCAAACTGCTCCGGCAGAAGGTGCTTCTAGGGGGAGTGGGAAGGGGGGAATGGCTGGAGGGGACGGTGGTGGGCTCCGGGTGTTGCTGGGCTCTGCTGTGCGCGGCTTTTTGGTGGGCAGTTTTGTGGGGTGAGGGGCTCAGCCAGGGGGGGCTTGTGGGGAGAGCTGAGTGCTGTGTAGTCTGTGCACGGAGCTGTTTGGGTGCTTTGGGAGCTCTTAGGTATAGTTGGCAACCTGTGAGGTGCTTGTTTTCCTCCTTCCCTCTCCCTCTGTGTGCTGGGGAGCTGGGAGGGCTGAGCTGTTTACATGGGGGGTCCTGCAGATGAAGGGTGGAGAGCCCCCCTGCTCAGCCCCAGGGCTTGCCCAGGAGGTAGAGATGCTTGTGGGCTCACCAGGGGTGGGTTCCTGGGGTGCTACAGCACCCAGTGCATGTGTATCCCCTCTTCCTTGCTTTGCAAACCCTCCTCCCGGGTCCATCCAGGCTTCCCCCTACTTGCAGCTGTGTCGCAGCCACATCAGCCGGCGCTGCCCGTCTTTGTGGGAGGACAGGGGGCAGGGGTGGGCAGGGGAGGGGGACAGCACCCTCCCAGGCCGTCCCAAAATCCCCATGGGAATGCCTGGGGGTTTCCCTGCGTGGGGTCCCCCTGTGCAGGGAGCTGCTGGCCCGGGGCTCAGCTGTGACCACGGGCAGGGGCTGCCCGGGCCCGTGGGGGTTCGGTTTGGCAGCAGCGGGGCCGCCTGTGACGCAGCGGCATTAACCTCGATTCTGTGCCGCTGCTCCCGCAGAGGGGATTAAGGGGCAGCGAGGGCTGTGTGGGGAGGCTGCCCGGGGGCTGCGCCGGCTGTAGCTGGGTCAAAACAAGAAGGGGTTTAGTTTCTCAACCCCACCCGTCCCCGCTGTGGCCGCTGGCTTCCCCGCCGGCTGCTGCCCTGGAGCGCTGGGGCTGCGGAGCAGGATGTGACCCCGATGTGCCGCGGGCGCTGCTGCTTCACAGGCCGCTCTCAGGGGGGCTGTGAGTCGCTGCTTTTTGGGGGGCTGTGCTTTGCCACTGGCAGCCTTTGCTGGTGGGGGGGCTGCTCTGTCCCACGGCACTAGTTGGCTCAAAGACTGTTCCCTGAGGAGGGAGGTGCTGGCCTGGAGGTCTGGTGGGGGATCTGCTTGCTGGAGCCAGGGCGTCCACGGGTGTCCATGGATGCAGCGCTGACGGGAAGCAATGCTGGTTGTAGCAGCTCCCCTGGGATCCCGCTCCCCAGGGCTGTGGCAGAGATGACCTGGCTCACTGAGTCACCCGTTTGCTTCCGATTGCTTCACCCCAGGCTGACAGTTGGGTGACCTCATGGGCATGAGGTGTGAGGAAGGGACATGCCCAGCCCGGCAGCCCCTGCCCTGCTGCAGCATCCTGGCACCTGGGGCCCTGGAGAAGCCAGCATGAGGGTTTGGAGCCCTCCCAGTTCCTTACCTGGGAGCTCTGGGGACCCAGCGCTGCCTGGGTCTGTCTTGGCTGCCACTGCCCGTGTAGGAACTGTATCCACAGTGCCACAGCCTGGAGGTGTCTTGAGGACAGAGTTCCAAGATGTGGCCTCATCTCCTCAAGTCCAGAGTCTCCCCCTGCACAAGACAAGCAGCAGACATTGTGGTCAGCACCAGCAGGACCGGGGGTCCCTCTGCCATTGGAACCTCCCCAGGACACACCAAGTGCTGCTGGGCTGCCGGGATGTTCATTGCCTGCCATGCTGCCTCCTGTTCCTGCACGGCCTGGGGCCTTGTCCTGCAAGCAAACACCTTGGGATAATTTGGGAAACTGGAATAATAGCATATCCTTGTGCCAAGATCAAGGGTTCTTTCACCTCACCATGGATGGGAGCAGCACTGCAGTGGATGCTGGCTTGGCACGGATACCACCACGGCTGAGAGTCCCTGCGATGCAGGAGGGAGCGGCCTGGAGAGCTGCTGGTGACCCGGCTGAGGTGTTTCCCCAAGCACAGGCTGGTGTTTGAAGCTGTCTGACCCGCCCTAGAGGAGCTGACATCTCATCCTGCACAGCCCTGACCCAGAGGCTGCTCCCCAGGGCTCCCAGCCCAGCAATTCCCCTCCGACCTGGCATGTCCCTGCATCATGCTGGAGCAAGGAAGCTCCCTTTGGAGGAGAAGGAGATGGTGGTGGTAGCTGAGATGGGGTGTTTGCCAGTGTTGTGTGGGCAGGAGCTGCCTCTGGCTCTGTGGGTGGGTGCTCCCATCCATCCTCCCACGCCTGGAGACGAAGCATTGGACGTGGCTTTGCTTCCCGTGGGGATTGGGCAGCATGGTGTGCTGCCTGCTGTGCGGAGTGCCAGGGTGAAAGGTTAGAGGAGCACCGGGGCCAGGCCACAAACGGTGCCCCAGGGGTGCACAGGGACCTGCTCCAGCTGCAAGGGGGCTCGGGCTGGTGGGGCCAGCAGAAGTAGCCCAAATTTGGGCCATGCTGGCCATGCGGGGAGCTGGATGGGGATGGTTCTGCCCGTCCAGGGGGAAGGGGAGGTGACGTGCTCAGGGTAGGGTCTGAGGCACTGGTTGCAGCCAACCTAACTTTTATTAAAGCTTTCTCCAGAGCCCTGCTAAAGCCCTTCCAGATGTGAGCTCCCAGGGCCACTGGAGCTGGAGGGACCTGGGGCGTGGGGATGGGGAAGGCGCGTGTGGTGGTTGCAGTTAAAGTCACGTTGCAGAGCAGGGAGGCCCACGGCTCCTGACCTGG